TCATTCACAATTTTGAGTCATTGGATGGTTTCAAAATATTGTCTGTAAAAACTGTAATGTTTTTTGTCAGTTACCTAAAGCTCCTGACTAACAAGTGTCCTAGCTACTCATGGCATCTTGTGCTATCATCTACAAGGGGCTGTCACTATTATTAAGAGGTAGCTATAAATATGAACTATGCTATATGAATTTGAATTGAAACATGTTCTCTCTCCCAAACACTGTAAGGCTAAAGAGAGGCAGGATATATTGATACAGTCTAAGATAAAGGCACAGGTCAACAAATTGTGATAAAAGGGAAGAGAGAGAACTAATCAAGGGCCAAGCTCACAAATGTGTGCAGAAAGCTTTTAGACATGCAAATAAGAGATTTGATGGTATCAAATGGATGTAAGAGGGCTCCTTAGGCTGGTAAATGGCACAGAGAGGGGAGAGGAAAAAAGTGGAGAGTGTGGCAAGCAGACACTAGAGTGAGATTCGGAGACAGAAGCATGAAGACAGTACTTTTGTTAGTACTTTTGTCACTTGACAGTGGCAAGACTCTGATGCCAGGAATGAAATATGAAATATGAATCTCTGCCTGATTCTTTCTGGTTCTCTGAGAAGAGCCAGGGTGGAGAGCTGTAGAAGGGCACCACAGTGTCCTTTGTTTACGCCAATTTTTATGCTATCAACAATCCCTCACGTGTGTTTTAGGATGGATTCAGGGATTCTCTAAACTCATGTCCTTAGGGTCCTTGTTCTGACAGCAGAGTGACAACTGTGACTCAAGACCAAATGGTTAAGCACAATCAGTGCACCTATCAGAAGCAAGGAAGGGATGCATGAATTATTTCTGTGACTTCTCAGGTGTTCCCCAGGAAATTCTAAAATTACAAACCCGAAGTTATGTTTCTCTTAGCCCCCATTTTCACCACCTCTAGGCTGGCCTTGGTAGCCAGCCAGCTCAGTTGGTTAGACCCTGGTCATGTTTCACCCCCTAGAGCTACATGTTAACTCGAAAAGCACACCACCCTCCCTTGCTGTTCACATACATTTTTTTCCCACTGCAAGTATCACAGACAGTAGCTCCCTGGCTGGGTTTCTGAGTCTGTGTGATGGGCTTGCACTGACAGACCTTTTATTTCTCTAGCTATGTTTACATGGACAGACTTAGAAACTCAAGTGAGTGTACTGCATAAGCCCTGCTTCACCTTTGCAAGACATCCAGCAACATCTGGATGAAAGACAGATGCAAGGTTGCTGTTTGCTGCTGAAAGGGCAGGGTGGTAGAGGTCAGCTAGAGGTAGTAAAAAGTATAATATCCGGTGGAAAACAGAGTGCAAATGTATCTGTATCATGATACTTCTGCTTCCCCTTTTCAGCGACCAGCCTCTGCAGCTCTTAGTTCCCAGGTGTATAAATTGTCTTCCTTGTATTACTGCTTCAGTTTGCTCCGCTTTTGGATGCTCACACAGCGGTGATGTGACCCTGGCAGCTGCACATCAGTGCTCAGATGTGTGGGTGGATACCCTCTGGCTTTGGGGAGAACCAGAGTGACACTCACCATGGCACAGCCCTTAGGGAGGTCAGTGTGGTGAGTGTTAAACCAAAAAGAAGGCCATGAAGGTAGATGGAAGATATGATAATCTTAAGTGGAGGAAAACAATAAATGGCAAGAGATGACAGCCACTCTTACGGACTTTAAGGATACAATAAAACTATAACATTAATTGTATTTTTAACTGTTGCTTACCCTGTATCAATAAAACTAATTAATTCCAGTTACTTATGACACTCAAACCACACTAAATCAAAATCCCCAACATCGTGAATTTATAAGATCTGTTTTGCTGTGGTAGCGTTAAATGTTTAGGCGGAAAAAAACAAAAGTCAATGGCACGTTTCAACACAAAAGTCATCTGAGCCTTTACTATAGAAGTAATAAGGCATTTATTATTTCAAGAGCCCTGCATTCACAATATCCCCTTTTTCAAAGAAAACACCCCTTCCTTCCCATTTTTTTATGAGGCTAACTTGTAGTATGTCACCACTGTGAGACTTCTGAATGTGTTCAGAACAAGACAATAATAGTAAGCCACAGATGAATGATGCGTAGTAAAAATCAATAAACCTTATAACTATTCACTAAGGAAACTGATTTTATGCCTATAAAAATAAAACAATTATAGCAATATTAATGGCAGATTCATCATAGTAATATAAAAGTCCAAGTGTGCTTGTCTGTTGGGAATCTTTAATTCATCCTTCTGTATTAAGTATTCACAAGGTAGAAGAAACGTAACCAACTTCAAGAACAATCTTTAACTTGCAGTAATTCACCCTGTCAAAAAAAACCCCAACAAACACAAACAAAAAAGAAACAGTAAAACTTTAAGAACCAGTTTTGACAATCAATGTAACCGGTATATGCAGAAAAGGAAAAAAGTTAAAGCCTCAAAAACCTGACCAGTAAATCTGATTTTTTTTTTTTTTTCTTGCCACAATTAGCAATTTCATGTTACTGTGTACTATGTTAACTGCATTGTAACCAAACAGGTGGTAGAGCCAGGTAAAATACTTATCTTGTGGTAATGCAGGTTAGACACAGCAAAGGAAGTTTTTTTTCTAATTGACAGGTCCTCTGTTTTTAGGCGTCCATTCATTTTTTGGGGGAAGGGTAATACAGATATAATATGAAAAAATTTGCCTATAATTTATAGCATACAGAGCTGCTCTAAAACAGGTATTAGAGACTTCAGTTCCACTAATACCATCCAAAGTGTTACCATGGGCCTTTTTTGAGCCTACCAGGGTCAACAGAAAGGGGTCCATCTGCCATCTGGCTTGGACCCTGCACTGCCTGCTGGGAGAGGACAATGGCACAGGCCCAGCAGGAGCATGACTAGGAGCTGTGCCATTGCTGCACCCTCTGCTATCTACAGCTATGACACATCTTTCAAAGTGGCTCAAGAACACCCAGAAATAATAATAAAAATTAAAAAAAAAAACCAAAACAAAAAACCCAAACCAACAGAACAAAAAAAAAAATCAAAGTTTTTTCATTATTCTGATTGCCAAATTATTTAAGGCAAGTAAAAAAATGAAAGCATTTGATATAGGTTTTACATAAAATAAACTAGGTTACAGCATAAAACAAGTAAACAGGTAATGGCATTAAAGTCTCTCCTCTAAATCTGGGTAATTGTAAACATTAAAAAAAAGACTGCAGGACTATTCAAGTAATAGAACAATCACAGATGTCTTCTCATATGCAGGCTATTAGGTTATCTGCCATTCAAGATTATCAAAAAAGACATTTCATTATTCACAGATGCTCATTATCTCCATTTAAAATCTATACATTATATACAACACAGTTTTTGTGGTACTAGAATCCCCATGCCTTCCAAAGGTATATTTTTCACAATACACAATTACAATGAAACAGTGAATACAGTAACATTTTACACTGATGCATCTTAATAGGAACCACCAAATAGACATCTACATTGTACCAAAGTGTCATCACAGTTAGCCTCTCTGAGAGCTTGTGGGAAATACCAGAAGGGTATGCAAGGTTCAGGCACACTGATACATAACATTATTTATTTACAATTGGAAAGGAAAAAAGAGAGAAGAAAAAGGAAAGGAAGAAGAAGAAGAAGAAAAAAGAAACAAACAGCCTTTTGCAGTTAACGCCTTCTAAACATGACAAATACATATCTCCATTTAGTGTGTGGTTCGCAACTTAGCAGCAGACCCTGTGTGCGAGCCTTGGTACTGATACAAAAAAAGTAAAGAATATATATATATTTTTATATATATATGTATATATATATATACGCATATATATATATATATAAAAACAGAAGTCTAATTACAGCAACATTTGTTACTCTGTGATAAAATCTGCAATTTACAAAAATGAAATGACTGGTTTTTGCCTGCCATTAAGGCATTTCAAATTAACACCATGGAACTGATGTCTGTAATAAAGCGCTTCCTCATGTGAACCAGTCACATGACAATGTTCATCCCCAAATTCATCATTCTCTGAAAAGAGAAAGAAGAAGGTTTTAGTAAGCAGCATCTTTTCCTCACACATTTTTTCCTGCATCTTGAAATGACGCCTTGAAAGGAAATCTGTGCAAGTATTCTCTAACCCAAGAAGAAAAGACAGCAAGCCCTGTCCTCATCCCTCCCCTGCCAGGAACAACATCCTAAAGTAACCTGTGCCAGGATTTTTCTTCTGGGTTCTGATACCCTATCATTCATCAGCTCTTCCGAGGCTACAGACCTCTCTGCCTCAAATAATTGCTTGTTTCAACACCAGTTTTCAGACAGACACCCGTAACTTAGAACGTCATGGTTCCATTTGACACATTATACTGAGTCTTAACATGCCAGCAATGAACAAAACCCTAATGTTAAAAGATGCTTTGGAATTTTCCACTTGAAACGGGATCATCATAATACAGAAGTTCTCCTCTTGACAACCTAGTAAATAACTGACAGGCTTTCAGGCATATAAATATATGACAGGGGTGTGCAACTTAAATACAAAGCCATCTCTAATGGACTCCCAAACAAACCTCTCTAAAAGCAAAATCAGCAAGCCATGAAGACTTGCAGAATAGATAAAATCCTAAGTTTTTCTGGTCATGCATGGAGCCAACTGAACATTAATTTTAAACTCATTTTATTAAAAATCTGGATCTTAAATTATAGTTCATAATCTCTTGTTTTAGCTTAGTACCAATCTTTAAAACACACTCTACGGAAAATCCCAGAAGACAGACTACTTGTTCTTTCTTAATGACCTATGTTACAATTACAGAACACAACTAAGGACATAATGTCATTCTAAGGAGAATAAAACTGCAATTAACCCAGAGTAACAGGTTTCTTCTCAACCTTAAAAACTGTCATACAAGGAAATGCACACCCATCAGGCTAGAAAAATCTGTGATTTTCTTTCTCCTCTCTATGTTATAATATATAATTTATTGGCTATTTACCTTCTTTGTGCAGGAAACATACCAGATGCAGATGCCTGTGCAGCCACCTGCTGAGTGGCAACAAGGGCAGCAGAGGTCAATCCTGAGAGAAAAAAAGAAACAAAGGAATTTTGATGTACTTCTGGTTTTAATGGATTTTTGTGATCATAGAAATGGTAGGAAGGATCACTAAGGCAAACAACCAGAAAATGCAGGAGGGGTTAACACTACATGAATGACAAATATTTCAGGCAATGTTGTTAAGACAGTCTGCCCAGTATGATCAATATACCTTTCTGTAATAAACTGAATTGTCCTTGATAGCTATTCTGCAAGAAATTACAGCATTTCTACTTCCTGCATTTCTTTCCAAATACTGCACTGAATGATGCTAAGTGGTTTATATGAGAGTTCATGAATAAGAAGCTCAGTAGAAATAATAGGTACCAGGAAACAACAAAAATCAAAAGTCACAGTGAATTACAGAAACAACATGCCAGCTGCTCAGGATACAATACTTTCTTAATAACTTACCATTTTTACAGTTTTGTTACTGAACAAGCATAATGCATCCCAAAAGGCATACGGAATCACTGAATCACACTGAGAAATGTCAAGACTTTTACACAGGAAAAATAAGTGCTGAAGCACCAAGTCAACATAAAGAAGAAATGTCATTTTAGCCACCAACTGTGGTAGCACGTAGTTTTGTAGCATAGTTTGCTGCATGGGAGGAAACCTCCTTTTAATTCAGCTAGAGTCCACAGTTAGAGAAAGAACATTCAAAGACTGGTATAAAGCCTAGGGAGAATAAATTGTATCTCACTGTGCTGCTTTTTCTCTGACTGCAACTTTGCACATGGCATTTGCCAAAATACAAAGAGTCCTCTTTCAAACAGTCAAATTATAACAAGCACAAACCCTTGTGACTGCAATGCCTTGTACATAAAATATGTTCAGTATAAGAAGCTTTTGTCTTTGCTACACTTCCTCAATTGCTTACACAACCCTAATTATACAAAAAGGAGGTTGTTTGGTTTGGATATTTTACTGCCTTTCAGCCAGTTAATGTCAGTTTGCAGGAGGAATCAAAATGTTCATGTGGATGACAGTCTAACTGGTTCATCTTTAATAATGCTCTGACACCCAGTTTTGGAAACAAAACTTGATATTTCTCAGGCATGAAGTTACTAATTTATTACTAGTACATGCTGCAAATTTTCAAGCCTTCTTCCTAATTGTAGAGCTCTTCTGTTCTAACAATGGGTTCTCTATTCAAAATGCTTCATGTAGGCACAATTTCCAGTGTCAAGGCAACAATTCCATGAGGCAAGCTAATCCCATCCATTGACAATTTTCTGCTCACCTTGAAATGGGTCATACTGCCCAGGTATAAGGGGGTAGCCCATTCCAACATGTGTATGGTGGTGTGTATGGAGATGCCGCTGGCTGAAAGGGGAATGGCGGTCCCGTTCCCTTTCTGCTTCCCGTTCACGCTCAGCTGGTGATTTTTCCACAGGCTAGTAACAGAAAGAAAACTGATGTGAGAATTTTAAAAGGGATGAAATCACTACAAAACCATGTGCTACTACCTGTCAAAAACCTTTTGAATACAAATGATGAAGCTACCTTTTCTGAAGAAGTATCTCTACTGGAATATTTGCACTTGATTCTTATCTGAAACTAATCTTTCTGGAAGGTTTCCCAAGGCACAAAGATTTTGAAGCAACACACTGCCATCTTGAAGACAACACACTGACTTCTGGTTTTGGGCTCCCTGAAGCTCGGCTGGCTTGCCAATGCCTGAATAACCTAGGTGCTCAACCTTCTAAAGCTCTCTGGGGATCAAGTTCGACTGAATAGCAGGAAGACCTTTTAGAAAATAGAATGAGAGGCAGTGGCATGCTCACAATTAAAACCAGCACCAACTTATCAGAAAGTGAAACAACAGTATTTGTTCCTGTTACAGTATTTGTAAATCCTGTTACAGTATTTGTAAATCCTGTTTGTATATCTTCAGAAATGGGGGCTGGTAATCAGCTACTTGGAAGATGTGGATGCTTGGCAAATACAAGGAGGGGATATTATCAAACCCCATAGACCAACTTCTCATTTCATTAAGTTCCCAAAAATAAAAGGAGGTTCCTGTCTAACTGCAAAAATCTGTGCACCAGGAAGAATCTCTGAATCTGTATTTCTATACTGAATCCATTCAAGACAGGAAACCTCAGCATAGAACTGTGTCAGGTGTGTTACTTCTAGGTTATGCCACAGAAGCATTCTGACTATAAATTGCTTTTATTGTAAGCAGTACTATAAAGAAGAATCATGCACTCATAGCTTGATGCCAGATTGTGTACTTCCCACAACTGTGATCCTCCTCTACCCTTTCCTGTATGTGACAATCCTCAGTAAGAAAAGATGAAGCCTTACAACAGGTGACTTGCTGCGGTATTGGTTGGCATGCTGCTGGAGCAAATCCAGTGCTTTGGACTCAGTGGTTGATTTTGCATTGATGCTTGGGCTGGTATTGACCTTCTCTGCCTCTTCTCTCCCTGACATCTTCCCATAAACTGGATAATGAAATCCTGGAGAGAGATAGGCCCCTGCGGGTAAACAATAAATACCACATCAAGTTACTGTTTTTACATTTTGATTGTATCAAGGTAGGAGGAGACAATGTCAGAACAGAGAATTACATCAAAAGTAGATCACATGACTTTCAAATGGCACCACTGCTCTTCAATTTCATCACCTAATTTACCCTGATGAATGGAGGTTATAAAGAGGGTTGAGTTGATAGCCATTTCAGACATTTATGGGTCCTCTTTAAGTAAAAGGAATAGTAACTATAATGGTTCTGACAGTAAGTGCTTAGAATATTTTTATAGGCAATAAACTATCTGTCAGTCTAACAGCAACAGCAGACTGTCAAGTGTTGAGAAACTTGAGAGTTCATAAAAGGAACATCTTGTATTAAATCAGTTTCATCTACAGAACTTTCCCCAGTGGAAGCACAACCAATACAACGTCACCCACGAAGTTTCTGATTTAGCCTGCCTACTAACAGAAGTATTAAAATGCAGGCTTCACTGAACCCGAGGACACAAATGTTAACTGGCATGCAAGGCAGGTTTGGGAATACATACCAGGATAGCTGTGCATTAGGACTGGAGAGACTGCGCGATAGGCCGGATGGTTGGGATCGTACATCTGCGGATACGGATAAGCATGCAAGTACTGGATGTATGACTGATGCTGACTCATTGGTGAGGAAACTGCTACTCTACCACCCCGAGAGTCCTTCCAATTTACAGGAGTCTTTTGATCATCGTTTTTTATCTTGCTCTCATCCACTGATTGAGAATCAGAACGCTTGACCTCTTTAGGCTCCTCTTTAATGCTTGCTAATGAGACAGGAAGGTTAGGCAGGGAACTTTCCTTGTTAGGTGTTTTTCTAGGGCTGTCTTCTTTTAACTTTTTCTCACGATCAAGTTCTTCTGATTTTTGCTGATCAAGGTACTTGGGCTGATAGACATAATGATGCCATGTTCGTGAATCTGGATCCTAATGCAGAAGAGAAAAAAATTGTTCTGAACTTAGACATAGAACTAAGTTTGTTATTGATATTTCCCACATTTCAGTTAATGTATTTTTAATAGTTATTTTAATACAATATCCCCATTACATAGAGGAGAGGTTTGCTTGCCACGGAGTGCCTTGAGCTCAAAGTCAAACCAATATTCCCATGAAGGAGCAAGAGTCTATTATCAAAATTTAATTCAATTGCTTCATCTTATATCCTTCTTCATGCCTTTAACTAGTTTAATCATGAAATACATATGCAATGTAATGAAGTTCTGAGACCATGTTATTCATAAAACATTTTAATTAAAGCCCACAGAGAGATTTTTCCCACTAGAGAGCAAAAAGTATCTGTGAACCACAAAATTAGAGCTGGCTAATGATATGCCAGAGCACTTAGAATACCTGGAACAATGCACATGAAAAGCTGATCTGTCAGGCAAGAGTCTAATGCTGCCTCTGGTATTACAAACATCCAGGAATCAGCTGAAGTCAAACATTAAAGCAGACTTTTTCGGCTGACAATCTTTAAAGTTACAGATGGGCAAGTATTTATTGGAACAGGATTGCATGGTTTAAAGAACATGTACTGGGCACTGTAAATACTTTTTTACGTAATACAATACACAGACCAGTTTATAAAGATGTTACAGAACTAAAGAGGGGAGTTTGTTACAACATCACACCAAATCGGTAGGGAGAAGTAACAGGAAGACTTCTTTTTCTAATACAGGATATGCAAGAGTCAATTGTCAACATTTTCTCCAATTGACAGACATTAATGGCACACGCCACAGAAATAGAAGCAAGCAACTTAAATGCTTGGACAGTCTGGTTCAAATACTCACTCGAATCAGCAGAAATCTTCTCCTACTTAGGTCAGTACCATCCCACTTCCTTTAGAGCTCTCTACTCCCACTCCCCTGATCCCACTGTACCTTGAAAGACAGCCTGTAAGGGTGAAGTCTGGGATGTACCATACACCAGAACATGAAAGCATCAAGCATTGAGGCTCCAGTTCAGAGCACAGAGTCGCATTGCCTCAAATGAAGGCAATGTGACATCTACGGAGGGTCAGCATGAAGCCACTGGATAAAATTCTGGTTCCACTGAAGTCAATGGCAAAACTATTGCTGACTTCAATGGAGAGAGGATTTCATCCATTGTGTAGGTCTGTAGGGGCTTGAGATTGGTTGAGGAGAGAAGGGGAACTTAACTGCTTCAGAAAGGTCACCTTGGGTTAAGATAAAGAGCTGTGCTTTAAGCCAACTCTTCAAAGAACCAGCTCACCCATCTTTAGTAAATGCCAACTGTCATTTAACACAAAAAAGAAACACTTCAAACCATGTTTCGAATCTACTTTAAGTCCTCTCACAATGAAAGCTGCTTATTTTGCTTGAAATTTCTCATTTCTGAACTAAGCAAACTGCTTAGAATTTACAAGGAAAAGAGAAATTTAATTCTATTTTATTAATGCATATAATTTAAAATAGTCTGTTCAGGTCTTAAGCCTGCTCTCAGTCATCACCTTACTAGACTTTTCAATTTATTTTTTTTGTTCTTTTCAAACAGCTCAACTGGAAGGTTTGTTGGTCTATTCACAGACTACAATACCATCCAGCATGAAAAAAGGATGGTGGAGTTTGTTTGGCTGCAGAGGTAGAAGAACGTATCAGAATTGGAAAAAAAAAAAAAACAAAAAAACTCACATGACTTAAAAGATAAACCAAGACACTCTTGTTCCATTTCCTGTGACCTCACCTGTTTAAATCTTGTGGTTGGATCTACTCCTGTTTGCTTCATCGAGTCCATAACAGATTTCATCTCCACAGCCTCCTTTATAAGCTGGTGGTTTTCCATTTGTTTGGCTTTGAAAGTATCAGACTGAAGCTGCTGCTGGTGATTGGAAAGGATCTGTGATTTGCTTGTCTCCTCACCTTTGCTAGGAACCGCTGATCCTATTTTAGTGTTATTTTTGCTGGACTCTGGAGTTGAAGGGGCCTTTGAAATAGTGGCAGATGGAATATTCTTCTGTTTGCCATCATCCTTCCCAATCTCCTTCATGGGAGGGTCATTCTTCCTTTCACAGTCCCTCCCACTTTGGGACATTTTCTGTTCTGCTAGTCTCTGGTCCTCGTAGTATTTTTCATACTGCTGCCTGTAAGCAGGGTTGGAGGCCATTAAGGACTTTTGGTCCATATAGAGCCCATAGGCATACTGTCCATAATAAAGTGACTGAGCAAGTGCAGGGTGTCTTTGAGTTATAACTGACTGATGTTGTGGCTGCAAATTAGAGGAAGTGCTTTCGCTTTTCTTGGCATCTGATGATTCTGCCTTCTCTTTCTTTTCAGACTCTTCCTCAGCCTCTTTTTTAATTTTCATCCCCTGTGGGGTACTGCTGTTCCCAGCTGCTGGGGCACTGACCTGTCCAGAGTGCAAGTAACTCGGGGAATAATAAGGATCGTAGCCATGGTAATAGGGAGAATGAGACTCTTTTGCTTGAGCTGATTGTGCTGTGGTTGAAGAATGTCCTTTAACAACACCATCTTTATTAGAAATAATATCTGATGGAGAGCTGGCCTTTGACCTCATGCCCTCTGACCTGCTGTCAGAGCCACCATCATCAGCTGCATCAGAAATATCTGAGTAAGCAGGGCTGTTGGTTTTAGCGGCCGTGCTGTCTGCGCCATTCTGTGTCAACACGTGCAGTGGGGCCATGGCAGATTGTCCATTCACCAAAGTGCTGCATTCCATCCTGGAGGCACTCCCTATGGAAGGGCTGGGCGCATTGTCTGTGAATGTGTAAACTTTATCAGCTTCAGCCTTAATACTTGCCATCCTGCTCTCTTGAGACTCTGACAGTCCATTAGCTAGCACTTCATTCTTGTTGAGATGGTCCTTTAAAAAATGTCCAGATAAGTCTTTTCCAGACCCTTTTGAATCCTCCAGCTTCCCCAGCTTAGAATCCATCTTGGGGCTGCCCGTCTCTTTGCTTTCTTTGTCCTTCAGCTTTCGCTTCTCCTTTTTCTTTTTGTCTTTGAGTGATGTGAGAGCTGGGTTTACAGTGCTTGGCTCTCCCATAATTGTGGGCTTTGGTTGAATGGGTTTCAGTGGAGGGCTCTTTGGTGTAGCCTGAACAATAGTAGTTGTTAGAGAGGGCAGTCCCGGTATTGTCCCTGTAGTGGTGGTTGTAAAGGCTGTAGTAGGTATAGCTATTAACTGGGGAGGAGTTGGTGCTGGCGCTGGGGCAATGGGCCTGGCTGTTTTCAGCTTGGAAAGGTTTTTATCCACTTTGCAATTGTTCGATTTCTTGCCTTTATCACCCAAACTCTTCTTGTCGATTAACCCTTCAGCCTCCAATTTCGGCATCTCGGTTTGCAAATTGCCATCTGCTACTGAGCAATTATCCAGTGTGGCTGCCATGTTAGAAATTACCGGAAGGCTGTTCAGTTCACTGTTCATACCCTTCTTTTTGCCAGAATTCTTGCCAGTTTTGGAACTGATAACTGAACCAGGGCCATTGCTGGTCAGTTCTCTCTTTCCCTTGGGGGTCCCTGGGGTAGCAATGGAGGAAGGAGATGTCGGTGCTTTTAGTGGATCAAAGCCTGGCAAGTTTGTGCTTTGCTCACTGCATTCAAGTGCCACATTACTCAGTGCTTCCTCGCAGTCTGAAATTTTGTCTTCACTGTCAGGTTCAAACTCCAGTTTGTTTTCTGGGTCTAAGTGTGCATGAGCCTGATGGTAACGTAATCCATTAATGTGCTTGTACTTCTTGTTGCAGTTGGGGTGAGGACAGTCAATCAGCACTGGAGAAGAGCAGCCTTGGTCCAAAAAAGTAGTCTCAGGTTTCCCCTGTGGGGTGGTGGGAGTGCTTCTAGAGTTAGTACGAATGCGTTTTCCAGACTTATTGTCCTCTGAACTGGAGTTCAAATCCAGCTCCATAGGAGGCTTAGTTTTCCTCTTGTTTGTGGACGAGGGGCTGGCTTTGACTTCATCCATGGCGCAGTTTGGGGGTGTTCTGCGCCCACTTGAGTTAAGGCTGCCCCTCCTCCCCTTCCCATTGGCACCGCCTCGATTTTTATTCTGAAGCCCTCTGGACTCTGCAAAACTCGCGTCATTCCCAGGCACAGCCGCAGCTGCAGCGGACCTTGCCCGCTTTCCCCTGCCCCGTCCTCCACGCATTTCCAGGTCACTTGTTGGCGATTCACAAAACCTGTACAAACAACAGATTTCATCAGCAGGAGTCATGAACTAAAAAAAAAAAAAAACCCAAAAAACCTCACTGCCACGTCCCATAAGAGACACTTCACACATGTTAAAGAAAAGATGTCCTTCTGACAAATGAGAATGTCACAGCATCAAAGTCATTAAATAAGGAAAAAAATTGTAAGGACATATCCACCTAGTTACAGCAGTGGAGCAAAAAATTTTGCTAACTTATAGAAATGCCTTTTACAGAAATTTTGAAATTAACTGCTCTCTGACTGAATCCCATGTATTTCCCCTTCCCTCTCAAAAATACAAAAGTAAAATAAAGAAGAGCTTCCACCCCATGTTTCACACAGAATAGAGAACTACTCGTTTCACTGGTGCATGTTTTCAATTATAACCGGTTGTGCTTTATTAATCTCTGTACAGTCTCTTGCCTGAGATTAGGGGTTTAAATACAGCAGAGAAAAAACAGACTCAGAGTATTTGCCTACCTAGGAGGGGCCCAGTCATGCTTTGTGCAGTCCAACAGCGTTCCCACGTAAGTCTTGTTCCTCCATGTAACATTTACCACCAGGACACCTGTCAGTGAGCAAAAAATAAAGTATTATCTCAGTTAGAACAATAACTGGGATAGACTTTTTGTTTTATTCTTTTATTATTTATTTTTTTTTTTTCTGTCCTTCCCCCACAGAGTGAAACGTTTACTCTCATTTGTTTTCAAACACTCTGGTCTATATTCTTCCTCTTTTCTGGTTTCAGTGACCTCAAGTTAAAACCACACAGGAAAGACAGCAAACGACAAAGAACATGAATTTGTGCACACATGTGTGTGTGTAAGACAGCTTGCCTGTGTGACTGTGTGTGTGTGTAATCAAGATACAGCTGACAGAAGGAAATGGGTTTTGCCATGTCCTGCTGTAAAACAGCAACACTCACCTCTTAATTTTGCTATTACTGCACATAATTGCTTTCACTTGGCAGCCGGCCAGCATAAACTAAGCACCAGTTACAGTGTTTAAATCAGAAGGTGACTGAGAAGAATAATCTGCTTTGCTTTGAACAACATGATAATGATGCTTCTGTTTACTTGAAATTACTCATATCCAAACACACAAACATACACACGTATGCACTGCAAGTTTTGTTCAGCAGATATTGCTGGAAAAATGTATTATTTGCCTTGCTTTTGCTTCTGCGGGAAGTGAGGGACTAGACATGAAACTTCAACCATACAGCAGTGAAGGTAGGAGTTATTGCAATATATATTTATATAGGAAGAGGGATCCTTCAAACAACCTACTGTAATTTAATTGCTTTTCCACTTATGACTTTTATTAAATGCAAATTTGCCTGCCTAAAGCAAAATTCTAATTTTGTTTTATTTGAATTATCCCTGTAAAATTTGTGAATGATAAGGTTATTTTAAGTAACAAGAAAATAAATGTGGGGGGATGTCATTCAAATGTTTTCAGGTTGCCCTCAAACACTTCTTCGCATAATTTATCATCATGTTTATGGACTAGCCGGCATAATGACCCCTTTAATTCATTAACTGCCATGAATAAACAGGAGGTAGTATTATTGAACCAGACATCTCTTCTCATTACACACACTGAAATAAGAAATACATTTTAGCTAACAAAGAAAGACACAATACAAAATGTTCCCGATTTATGAGAGGCGTACAGACACCAACTCGCAGCTGACAGCCTTGTTTTCCCTCTACACTTCCCTTGTTCTATCTGCAGCGTCTCTGTAACAGATATGATTATGGCATTGTGCCAGAATGTTTCCAGCCCATCTTTTTGCTTTGTCTTACCAGCGCAATTTCTAATTTTGCACTGAAACCATCCCTCTCTGCTGCACTGAGGTGAAGTTAACAAACAAGCGACAGCTTATTTCCTCAGGGGTCTTTTAGCAGCAGGGAAGTATTTTAAATGTTGTTAGCAGAGGTACCAGGGAAGAAGATATTTTCTTGAAAATTCTCCGTAAGAGATTTGAAATTTATCCCCCAATGGTTTTTCATTGCGATTAGGCAACTGGAATTTTGTACACTGGGATGAACTGGTTTGAAGCATGAAAGACAAACTGCACCTCCAGCCAGTGTCAGAGTCAGGCTTTCAGTACCTAGAAGGACCATGGGGAAGGTGTTTAAAAGGAGAAACTTGATGGGGCACTTAGTCCCATGGTCTACTTGACAGGGTGGTGTTGGGTCATAGGTTGGACTCGATGATCTCAGACATCCTTCCCCAACCTAACCAACTCTGTGATTCTGTGATCAGGGTTAAAACGCCATGCTGTATTCTCATGACCTAGGCAAACTAGGCAGCCTGCAAAGACACCAAGGCTGCTTTACGCTGCCCCTTGCTTAAGCGTGGAGGCAGCCAGGGGGTGCTGGGGTCCGGGGAGGAGGAGAACAACCCAGTACATCCAAGAGGAAATGTCTGTTGGTGGAAATGGGGTTTCTTACAATAAGCAACTCCAAGCTATGTTCCCACTTGCCATTCACACCCTAGAAAAAAGAGATTGCAAAGGTGTTTCTCTGGCAGACTTGATGCCTTTCTTCCACTGTAACAGCTTTTCATTTGTGACTCTGTAAGGTTCCAAGTGAAAATTGAGTATTTTCCACTAGCAAATTGTATTATGGCATGCAGCCCATCTATCTGCAAGCATCACACTTGATCCCTCCAGCCCATGTACCAGCGTTTGTCCAGTGTCCCAAAAGTACCAAGTAGAGAGAACTCTCTGACATCCCACAGAGTATTGCTGAAGAATTATCTTTGTCATTTATTCTTCCCCAGCTAGTTCACCTTTTCTGAAAAAGTAATTGTTATTTTTGTGGGGATTTTTTGAGTTTGGATTTTTCTTTTCTCTTTTTTTTTTTCTTTTAATTTGGGGGGGGTTGGTTTGTTTCTTGTTTTGGTTTGGGTTTTTTTTTAGCAGGGGGTGTCAATGAAGGTTTATTCTGATGTACGTCTCCATCTTCCTTGATATTTGTAATCTTGCCTATCTTTACATGCCCTTTATTAATTTATTTATATAACAGACCTAGGGATAGTTTGTTACCTATTGACAGAAAAGAGGGCAAGGTAGAAGGCAATGAATAGCGAAAATAATAAAAGCCCCTGAAATCAATACATATTCCAGTAATTCTAAGAAGACATTTAAATGACCTTCCAGTGTAAGAAAGTCAGTGTTTCAAAAGCAAACACAACTAAGTTCCTCCCTGAAAGTCTGCTACATATAGCATCTCATTAAATTTGTTAGGCTGAGCAAAGGCCCCGTGCAAGTATGAGAGAATATTAATCTTCACGCTGTGTTACAGTAGCTGTGGCAAGGAATACATTTCCTTTCCCTAATGGATAGCACACTGCTCAGCCACACGTAGGGTTCAGCAGAACCGGCAGCGAAGGTAACTCATTTACTCTTCTAAGATTATCACAGAAATGGGTGAGGAGAATATGAGTCACATGAGAGGTAGGACTGATCTAAGGAAATGTGCAACTGGTGGAGGCTTATTAGGCCAAAGCACCAGAAGATGAAAATGGAGATGACTGAGCAGGTACTCCACACAATGTACTTGATGCAGAGCTGAAGAGTAAGGATTATTCTTCTAAATCAGGTTACACTGTTAGTCCTGGCACAGTGTTCGAGCTCAAACCCAGCCTCTGCTGAGCCTGCTCGGTCCCAGAGGCAGTGCTAGAGCAGTGTCTCGCTCACCTCCCACTGTCACCTCTGAGTACACTGGCCATGCACTCTGGGATGCACTAACCCTTCTCTGGGCTGTTCCAGCTCCTCTCTGTGCACATGTGTGCCCATGTATTCCCTCCACCTTGTGAAGGAACACACCAAACTCTCAGGGGCTGTGTCTAATAGTAAGTCCCTGTAATGAGACTTCCTATTACATTAGACTACAAATCATGTAGCAATAATTTATTTAACATTGCCTGAACAAGAGAGGAAATGCAAAAACAGTCTGAAGAATCCACAGGTCTCACACTATCTAAACAAAGAGAGGTATTTCCACCTTAAAAAAAGCCCAAAAAACCTAAACTTTTTAAAATACCCATTACTGAAGAATGGGAAAAAAAATCAGATGCTTGTAATGAAATTAAATGAAATGAAATACCTGAGGGTATTTGGTCTCTCTAAGATTCTAATTCAGGAGGAAATCTACCCAAATATTAATTCTGTTCTTGTGAGGTTGGATCAAACAATAATGAATATATGCTATACACAAATGCTTCTTCAAGCATCTTAAAAAGTTTGACCAATTACCAGAGCACAGTTCACAAGAATTGGACATAATAAAGAAAATCTTATGTCCCCAAAATATGGATATAAATTTCTTGGTTTAATTTGGTTGATCATTCCATTTACAAACTATGTAAATATTCACAGTTACAGTATATCCAAAATAAGCAATACTTTCTGCAGTCTCCAGTGTCATGTATCTTACATCAAAGCAAACAAGAATATGAAAATTAAAAGTTCTGAAGTTACTATCAATGCTACTCTTTATCATTAAAGAGCAGACACAGTAAGCAGAGAATGTTTGATGTGTGGGAATTACAAAAGAGTGTTATAACATAAGAAAATGGGATCATGTTACCCAGAAGTTTCACAGTTCACCTACTGTAGTTTTTCTGACAAAATCCATTATTAGCCAAGGCAGGATCATACCAAAAAGCATTAATGTTGGCATATTAATGGCACATCCAGGATGTCATCTGGTGCCCACCACCACCAACAGAAACTTTTCCTTTAACATTAAGTGTTGTCAGCCTTTTAGGAACAAGAGAAGATTGTGTATTTTGCTGTTTTCCTTCACAATCTGTGTACCATTATAAGGTTTTTCTTTACTCATCATAATCATAACCACAATGATAATGATAATAATCATTATCATGATAATCATGATAATAACCACAATGATAATGGCAAAAAAAATTCAGGCAGGAAAAACTAACACGTGCCTATAGGAGCACAAAACCATTTTACATAAGTACTTCTGATAGGTAACACGTACAAAACAACTGTGACAACTTGTACATGAACTTTATTGTGGAATTAAAGGTCACATGTCACAAAAGTGGCATGTAAGAAAATAATTTCAGAAACCTACAGAAAAAAACCTCACTTTTTTTGAGTTCTGTGGATATAATGTATCTCTTCTTTCCCTGTGCCTTCTTCCTCCTTTTAGAAGCTATGTTACTGCATAACAAAGACCAGAACTAAAATTTGCTATTTACTATTAACTATATCTCATAGAATGAAATATGTCTTCACAAATTGGAAATGAGGTAACTAAAATTGTTGCTAAGAAATGGAGATGTGCTATTTTGACATAAAAATATCACAATCAAAGGCATTTTCAGTACCAAATAAAGGTATTGTTCATATGGACTGCTCGGGCACTGCAAGTTTAGCAGACACTCTTGAAGATGTTCCTTCATTTAAAGACAAAAAAAAACCCTAGTTTTTTTTTTTTTTTAAAAGTACCTAGTTTAAAACAGATTGCAGTCTTTTCTTGACTCTATTTTCTGCAATGAACACAAGCCAGGAATTTTTATGTTTGT